AACAACTTTTATTTAAACACATGCAAATCAGGCTGTTGTTATTTGTGCTCTGAAGCAGCAATCCTCTACCAAGGATGGAGCTGAGGATCCAGCAACCTCCCAGACAACAGAACTGATGGAGGTCAAACACATTTCAGCCTGAATGGGAATCTCAGCAAACATGGCCGACAATTTAAAAGATGAGAAAAAGTTCATTTAATAAATAAATGTATGAAAACCTGTCAGAAAGAAACTTTTAACAGAAAACAAAAGACATTTAGTTTTACTGGAACCAGAACCATCAACCTGCTGGACCCATGAGGTGGATCCACCTTCTAGATCCCATAGATCTAACATGAGTCTCATGGTTCCAGATGACCTGTAATATTCTGCTGGAGCTGCTGAACGGCGGCAGAATGAGGCCAGTCCTGCTGTCAGAATGTTCCTTCTCCACTGCTTCTCTGCTCCTGCCTGGTTGGATCCTTCTCAGCAGGAACTCCTGTTAGCAGGAGCAGGAGACAGGAGCTGTGGGGAGCAGGAGGTCAGATCAGAGGAGGCAGATTGACCTGAACCCAAAACAACATCCATGACATCAATGCCATGGTGGTGGCAGCATCATGCTGTGGTGAGACTCGAGTGGAGATTCACCTTCTAGCAGGAAATCCAACATGGACGCCAAGGTAGAGGCAGAACGGATGGTTTATATCAGACTGGGGACAGAATGGCCTAGTCAAAGTACAGACCTGAATCCAAACTATGAAAACATCTAGAAACTGATGTTTCCAGATGTTTTCCATCCAACCCAACTGAGCTTCAGCTGAAGTCAGAGGTGGTTCTACCGGTTCTGATCCAGAACCCGCTTCATTTATAGAATCCATCAATTCACGTTGTCATAGAATAGAACATAATAGAATTAAATAGAAAAGTAGCACCCAGATTGCTGAAAGCTAAAGTATCAAACCATCTCCTCATATAAATCTCATCAGATTTTCTGGTTCTGATGTCATGAAATGTAGAAATGTTGAAAAGAGTGAAAACCTTTTTATATTTTAGGGGAGCAGTGGGGAGGGGGCCCCGGGGCCTCGTCCAGCAGAGAGAAGGCAGGTCCAGGTGAGCCCGGCAGGTGTGTCAGCGATGGATGGACGTGATTTGGTCCTGAGGGACGTTTTGCATCCGCGGCTCCTGGAGGGAGGAGACGCGCTCCTCCCTGAAAGGGAGCAGGTATCAGGTGAAACACGGACGCATTAAAAGTCTGGCTTCTGGAAAAGTTCAGTCAGAAACACAAACAGCTGGTTTCACTCAGAGAGGAGAGGAGAGGAGCAAACATCCAGCATGAAGGTCGAAGCCTGGGAGCTGATTTCTCTGCTTCTGCTGGGAACCAGTACCTGCTGGGAGGGCTTAGCTCAGGTAAATCGATCTATCTCTGATTCCTCCAAGAATTAATCTCAGTTACCTGCAACACTGGAAGGGTTTGATTGTGAGCAGAAAGCGGTTTATTATTTTCGTTTTTCAGATTAAAGCAAATTATCGATAGATTTTAGAGGCTATCCTGAGTTACAATAATTTCAGCGGGATTAAGCTGTGGTGCTAAAACCAGTCCAACCAGTCAGAGTTCAATGGGAACATCTTGGTTGTTTTTGTAAATGATCATCTGGAAGGATTCAAGTTTCAGGGTTAGAAAGGATTTCTAAGAGAGCTGATTGGACGGGAGGAGCATCATTTCAACTGAAAACCCTGTTACCGTGGGAACAGGTGTGCTGAAGCTACCTGTTCTGCTCCCTTCACTTAAAAACGCTCTGATTTGGACCAGAGACCTGATCCGGTCAGGTTCCAGAATGGTCAATAAGGTCTGCGAGGAAACTCCTGGGGGAGCATCAGGGTGTCCTAAACCTCTTTCTGTCCTCCATCAGTCCACAGATCCTACACCTGTGACCGAGGCGGAGGACACTGCTTCAGCCTGGACCTCCAAAAGTTCCCTCACTTCCTCTGACCACGGCGTCGCCTCCGCCAGGCAGACCAGGGAGAGCGACAAAAAACCAGGCAATGCTGCCACCAAACAACCTGACAGAGCCACCACTAACACTAGCACCACCGGGGGCACCACCGGGGGCANCACGACCCGACCACCAAAGGGAAACTCAGCTTGTGGAGGAAGCAGCTTCTGCTCCACCCGCCTGCTGCTCTGCTCCATCGTTGCTCTGCTCCTGTTAGGATGAAGGTTCCTCAGCAGCAGGGACCTTCATCATCATCAGCCTCGTTACTTTGATTAAAGTCGTTTAGAACTCAGGATGCTTAGAGCTTAGAACACTTTGGTGTTTGTTTTAGTTTCTAATGAGATGATGAAGTTAAATCCTCAGATAACTGGGAAATCAAAATGCTAACTGATATTAAACGCTTTGTAATGTTGATTTCTATGTTTATAGCATCAATAGTTTAATGGCAGTAAGGTTATGAGATAAAAACAGGAAATGTTTCTCAACCCAAACGTCGTTAACCGTCAGTTCCTGCAGCGCCTGAACTCACCACTCTGCTCCTTTACCTTTACCCACCTGCTTGGCGCCCCCCGCAGGTCAGAAAGGAGTTACTGCGGATGTGACCTCACTATGGAAGGACTGATGTCAGCAGCTTTGCTTAACTTTGGACAAATAAAAAACTTATTCATTTTCTTATAATGGAAAATAAAATGAAATGATTATTTTATTCATTTTCAACATTCCTAAACATATGAAATGTATTAAATGTGAATAAAAACCATCACCTACTTTGAAGTTTTGACTTTTGTTTTATGTCAGTCAGTCACATGATCAAAAAGCACCTGAAAAAAAAAAACAGATTAATTTTAAAGAGAAAAAGAATTAAAAAATCAGTAAATGCTTGAAAGTTGAGTTTCTCTGAGGAAAGTAAACAATGAAGTGGAATTCATTTTGAAAGTGATTCATGTTAATTAGAATGTTTGCTTCAGGTATTGATCGATGCAGGAGGGGCTGAAATGCTCCCAGAGATGGACGACTTTATGGAGGATATAAAATATAAAATATAAAACCTAAAAACGTTTCAGACATGTTGAAGATTTATAACCGTCTCAAATAAAAAATGAATGAAATAAATTCAGTTTGGAGTCCTGCTGATTCCTTTCGGGCTGTTCCCAGGATCCCAGGTTGATCAACCATCCATCATTTCTGATCATCCTGTTCGTTACGGCAACTGAAAAAAAAATCTTATTTAAGAGGAAACATAGATCTGGTGTCATTAAAGCAGCATTTATTAATTTATTATTTCAAATTAGCTAAATAAAAATCAGCACCTATAAATAATATTAGAAGGGATGATGACTGGGTCCTTGAGCAAGACCCTTCCCCCCCACTGCTCCCCACAATGGCAGCCCCCTGCTCCCCAGTGGATTAAATGCAGAAAGTTCATTTCATTGCTCTGAACTTGTGACAGCGTTACGACAATAAAAGGCTGGAATAACCCCCCCCGATTTAAACGGTAGAGTCAGCATCGTTCTAGATAAGCTGCTCAAACAGGTCCGAGACAATTCCCCGTCTGCTCGCTACAAATGCAGCAACTGCTAATGATCCCGCAGCCGATTTCCTGCAGCAAGTCTGCATCAGAATCACTGCAGCTTCTGTTTCTGTGCATTACAGGTTTCACCCACATGTTGGTAGATCTGTCCCAAAGAGGTCTCTCTGTTGGTCTTACGGGTCATTGTTCAGACCCCCCACCAGGCAGGCATTGTCTGATAGGGGCCGCTTTAGTCTCCTGATGTCAGCACGAATCCTGCAGGAGCATGGTGGGGAGGGGGTGTTCTCCTCTTCTCAGGATTGTTGAGGCCTTTTTGCAACACATGCAATAGATCAGAGGTCTTCAACAGGGGGTCCGCGGAGGTACTGCATGGGGGTCGCAAAAGTCTTGGTTGATTACTTTTTTTTATATCCCCTCTTGCAATTTTTTGCACTAATTAAAATGTCTTTTAATCCACATTAACATGAATTCAACAGACTGTAGTAAACAGATAAATGAAAGCAGAAGATGTCTTTCAGTCATCAATGCACAGATTAAACGACACACAGGAGCTCTATCAACCTGGGCACCGTTTCATTCACAACACCTGTCCCATCAACCAGGAATCAGAATCAGAAATACTTTAATTATTCCAGGGAGAAATTACTTTTGTTACATGATTCCATCTGTAATAGAGTGACTATAGGACCAGTTTGATAGAACACTATTTCATACAGTGTATATAATTAGGGGGTCCCTGCTCCATCTCACAATCAGTTTGGGGTCCTTAGCCTTGAAAACGTTGAAGACCCATGAAATAGAGTGTTCCAGTAAAGTCTGTCATTTCCCATCTAAAGCATAAATTCTCCCAGCCGTCATGTCCTGTTAGGGCTGGGGAGGCATGGGGAGGCATGGGGAGGCATGGGGGGGTCATTGATCATAACTGACAGCCCGTCAGGTCAGTTGCACCTTGTTACTTTTCAATACCAGGCTTGAGGTCAAACCATCCCTATAAATCGGCGCTCCTCATTCGTCTCCTTCTTTAGCTCCACAGCTGGTTCCGCCCACAGCTGCCTCTCCCCAGCACTGCTGTCCCAGTAGCTGATCTAGAAGCAGCTGATCCAGCTGTAGCTCCCTGACTCCCCAAACTGGGAGCATATCTGGCGACCCAGAGAGACTGGTGCCATAGTTCAGCTTTTCATGATAAATAAAGCCCAGACGCTCGCCCAGTTAAAACCAGTTCCACCATTAAATCTGTGGCTGAGTCTCCTCCTCCCTCAGCTATCTGCTGACCCTGACATCATCACCACATCCATGCGCCTCCTTGGGTCACCATATATGACGGGTCACAGCTTGAGCTTTACCCTCAGGGGGCAGTAGATTTACTGGGTCTGTTTTGATCCGTTGGTCCTGCTGCCTCCAACCTGCTGTTCATCAGAACCAGTCCTGTTTCAGAAAAATGGCTGAACAATAACGCCTGTGTGGCCTTTCCCATGTTGAAATGATCTGTGATGCATGTTTAGGTTGTGGAAAGTCTGCAGAGATCAGGAGAACGTGTCCCAGAAGGAAGGTTTGAGTTGAATCCCAGCAGATTCAGGGGAGATGTTCTCTGAAGCTGGTTCTAACTAACCTGAGAACAGCCAGATGCATGTGGAGGAAGGCGGAGCGAGACCTGCATCTGTTCTCAGGTTAGGTTCTAACTGCTGCAGCTTCAGACCTGAACAGGACCAGAAGGTCCTCAGTCCTGCAGCCATAGATTATAACTAATGAAATAATTCAGCTCTGTCCCAAAGAGGAATATTTTCCACTGGGTCAACTATAAACCTGAAGGAATAATTCACCTGCTTCACCTTCAGGGACATGAAACCAAGCAGAGGTTGGATTAAAACATGCGGCTGTAATCATTCATGCAGTTATGTAAATATTTTAATCAACAACCGAGATAGGGACGTTTTTCATGGCATTTTTCATGCGCAGCTTCCTGGTCCCATACATCTGCCCCCCCCATCATATATATAAGAAGCAGGATGAAGGTTTGGTGGATTTTCATTCAGCTGAGGTCCCATCGTGGCTTTCAGGGGAAAATCTTCCTCTTCTGGTTCTTTACAACATGAAGATTTCAGCTCTGATCATCTTCTGCCTGCTGCAGGTACCTCCTCATCATTTATATACATATATAGATATAGATATATAGATATACAATGATTAATTGATCAAGGATCTAAAGTGAGGAAGTGTGCGTGTGTGTCGGGGGGGTTTATAGAGTTCAGCATCAATCATGTCTGGAAAAGTTGCTGCTAGTTTTCTTGTAGCAGCTCAGCTGATCCAGCAGGCCTGACTGGAAGCTTTCAATCAATTTATGTCATTTTATTCGTGTTAAAACATGAAGTCAATAATATATAGAACTAAATATTGTATAAATAGAATAAAAATGTAACTCTAAGAAGTTAAAAAATCAAAGTGGGTAAAGATAAACTAGCAATAATATATAAAAATGAAACATAGAGCTATGATTGGGGAGGGAAGCTGCAATGCATTCCAATCTATATACAACAGTCTATATCACTGGTGTCTAACCTTTTATCTACTTTACTTTTCTACAATAAGGGCGCCGCAGAGACGTTTCATAAAACTTATTATTGTTACATCTTTCAAAATACAAAAGACTTTCTCTATCCTTGTGGGGACTTTCCATGAGTTCCATTCATTTCTGCAGCCTTTGAAGTTTTAATGACGTTTTCTAGAGTTTTCTGTAGAACAGAACATTAATAATTAATGTAATAATTTGAAGGATGCTCTCATAAAATGTTTTTATGAAAAACCGTCTGCTGTTCAGAGGACATTGGCGAGAAAATGTCTAACAGCTGGAACAGATGTTTAGTTCATGCACAGCTGGATGCAGTAATATGCCTCCATGTTGGATCCAGCTTTTAGCTTCTGCCTCCATTAGGAGGCGCCGGCTTATTCAAAGCGGCCATATTATGTTACATTGACGAGGCCCACGCAGGTTTCTGCTCTTTGTGATGGAAAATTTCTGTCAAATTAGGCTGAGAGACTATAAAAAATCTCCTTATTTAGCCTCCTCCTCCGGACGAGCTTTCCCTGCCCCGCCCTCCTGAAGGCCACGCCCCCACAACCAGGACGCCAGTCAGGGTTCATAAAAATAACCTATGGGTATGGACTTGGAGAGAAGTTCTGGATAAGTTAAGCAGACGTTACTCAGAGGTTTAGGATCAGCTAGTCGCCACGGCTGATGAGGAACTGACACCATCAGATAACTCAGAATCAGAATCAGAAATACTTTAATAATCCCAGAGGGAAATTACTTTTGTTACACGCTCTAGTTACAGTTTTACATGATATATACACACATCCAACTATACAATATAATAAGATAAAAAATAAGAATAAAAAGAGATAAAATATATATACACATATAGCTCTTCTGTACATATAACTGACCTGGAACTGACGGCCCACGGACGGCGGACGCTGGAAAACGCCAATGACGTGTTTCACTGCGTTACTGCATCAACATGCTCATAACTTATCCAGCGTTTTTCCAAGATTTGCCGTACTTCAGGCAGACGCTGGATAAATCATCCAGGTGTGGCAGGAGCTTTACCTGGATGGCTTTAGAGCTGCTTATGGAGCGTCTAAAAATGTTTTATCCAACAGTATCTTCTGTTTAATGATAGGAAACATCTGAGCAATCCCTCTGATCTGATCCTAACTTCTCATTCAGACTCACTAACAAGCTGCTAATGGCTTAGAAGAGATTGACCTGGAAGAACGGGTGCCTCCTTTAGTGATGGGGAGTCATTAGGGCCGTTATTGGCCCGTTAATGGCCGATATGGTCTATGTCTCTGAAAGCAGGGTCACTAGGGGGAATTGTTGGCCTGATTGAAGAGAGATTCATTTTGAACTGAAAAAGCTTCCTGGATGAGAAGCGAAACGTCTTCAAAGTTGGAAACAATGTCCAGAGGATTGATTTTAACTTTTTTGGAATGACTCTGGATGACTGAGAATCTATTTATAGCCTTTATTGTTGCCAAATCTATCCTTCCAGCCAAACATACAAACATGTAACGTTTACTGACATCCCGTTAAACTCAGTGACCATTTATTCTATTTCTTTTTAATTTTTCACCCAGGCTTCTGTGAACCCAACATCTGCAGCAGCATCAACTGAAACCACATCAGCAATCACCACCGACCCCACATCAGCAATCACCACCAACCCTACATCAGCAATCACCAGCGACCCCACATCAGCAATCACCACCCACCTCACATCAGCAATCACCACCAACCTCACATCAGCAATGACCACCAACCTCACATCAGCAATCACCACCGACCTCACATCAGCAATCACCACCGACCCCACATCAGCAATCACCACCAACCTCACATCAGCAATGACCACCAACCTCACATCAGCAATCACCACCGACCTCACATCAGCAATCACCACCAACCTCACATCAGCAATGACCACCAACCCCACATCAGCAATGACCACCAACCCCACATCAGCAATGACCACCAATCTCACATCAGCAATGACCACCAACCTCACATCAGCAATGACCACCAACCTCACATCAGCAATCACCACCAACCCCACATCAGCAATCACCACCAACCNCACATCAGCAATCACCACCAACCCCACATCAGCAATCACCACCAACCCCACATCAGCAATCACCACCCACCTCACATCAGCAATCACCACCAACTCGACAGCTGCACCACCCATGGACTTAACTACTGCAAACACCAGCAGCAGCGGCAGCAGCAACAGCGGCAGCAATGCCCCGTGTGGACGTGGTGCCTTCAGAGCTCCTCTGCTCCTCTCTGCTGCTCCTCTTCTGCTCCACCTCTCCATCCTCTGAGCCTCAAACCTTAAACTGAGGAATTTTACGGCCAAAGGAATCATTTCCTGCATCGACTGAACGCTGGAGGAGAAGGAGAAGCAGGAGGAGATGCAGGAGGAGATGCAGGAGGAGCAGGAGGAGAAGGAGGAGGAGCAGGAGGAGAAGGAGGAGGAGCAGGAGGAGAACATGAGGAGAAGCAGGAGGAGCAGGGATGGGATTTATCCTTTGATCTATGATGAGGTTTTGATTAAATAGATCTAGGTCCATATTCACAGAGAATTCCCACATTAAAGGTTTTAGTCAATTTAAGGAAAACCTTTAAATTTCTCGATTTGTAAGATTTTTCTTAAATTCTTCCTCAGTAAAATAAATTGTTGCTTGTTGTTGGAAAATTTTCATTTCTCTTCTATTATATATTAATATTAATAT